TTTTGTAACGCCCCAGATCATTTGTAGACCGGAAACGCTACTGACGAACACTTAGATGTCCGATCAGAGGTTCCTAGAACATATCCAAATTCCTTAGACAAGACTTCTAAGCGTCCATCCCCATTAGATACCTCTCAAGGCTTGCCAACCCGAGACATATACAATGGTTAGTTCGTCCGGACAAGGACTAGTATCACATGAAACCCGAATTTATGCAGACTCGATTTTTTTTTATATATAATTTATACATAAGTTTTAAACGTGACACAAGCATATACAATTTTGAGTCTAACATTCCAAAACGATCATGTACATAATAAACATTATTCATTTACAAAAGGCAAGGAACTCTACTGCTGAATTTCCTAACGTTCCTTTGGATCCCGGTGGTCTATCCACTAATGGTTACCTGCAACACAAGTAGAGCCGTGAGCACTAGTTGCTCAGTGAGTCTAGGCTCCCCTAACATTCAAAAATCAATTCCCAACCAAATCCAAAATAACTTTCAACACGCAAGCAAGCAAATCTAACAAAAAAAATGCGATAAGTTATGCAATGTTAATATAAGGCCTTTCGCGTAGACTATTTCTCTCCACGTCAAATCACAAGGTATCCATCAGCCCAAAGCCACAAAGGCTAAAGACCTAAGATCCTTCAACGTTCCAATGGCCTTATGTATATAAGGATCCGCACCGAAAATTCTGCATCGTCATGTAGTACACGGCCAAAGGCTGCAATCCCGTCTCTCCGTGTCTTCATGTACTTAGACTAATACTCAACGTACTAGCTAAGTCATGGCTTTCAAGAGAACGTCTTACCGCGATCATCATAATTTATAAGTCTTACTATCAACTTAGGTTATAAGAAAACTTATAAATATGCATCAACAATCCCACTTAGTAATTTTCACATGTTAAAGCTTTTAAGTACTTAGTAAAAATATAAATCACGCAGCAACGAACCTCACTTGTAATTTAGTTAAACACGCAACAAGTATCACCGAGACTCACCTTTGACTTAGTGAAAGGTCGCGGTTTTGCCCAAGGTTTCCTACTCTCAA